AGGTTGGTGGAGAGAAAGATAGAGGTCGTTTACCAACTTAGAAAATGGAGGATTTTCTATAAAAAAAAAATGGAGAAATTGAGGAATGGAAAAAATAAAAATTGAAGAAGTTGTTTACTAAATTTCTTCTTCCAAATGTTTACTCCTCCATTTTTCCACTTTATGTATAATTTTGGAGAAAATGAATTCAGACTTCTCTAAATGGAAGAACGGAGGGAACACGCATGAACAGTGGTACATTACCGAAAGATTGCCGATTTGATTCTTACTAAGCCTGTGCCTACTGTTTAATTTTTCTCTTTAGGTGTTTGTTGTGCGCCTTTGCTTTATTTTTTTCTTCAACTTTTCACATCTTCTTCATATTATTATTATTAATTATACTCCGTACTTATTATTATTATTATTATTATTCAGTTTTATCGCTTCTTCTACAATTTAATTATTATTAGCCTCTTCTACATATAATAATAATAATAATAATAATAATAATAATAATAATAATAATAACAATTATTATTATTCCATATTATAATAATAATAATAATAATAATAATAATAATAATAATTATTATTATTATTATTATTATTATTATTATTATTATCTTTGTTGTAGATATGTACAAATAATATATGGGATGATTGTACTTAATAAAATAGAAAATTCGATAAATGAAAAATTGGGGAATGGAGAAATGGAAAACTAGAAGAATGGAGAAGGAAAACTGGAGAAATGGAGAAATGGAAAACTGGAAATGGAAATACAGAGAAATATTGTTGTCATCCCAAGCGTGGGTCGGAATATTGTTGCTAAAGCGATCTTGGGCCTTGCACTCTGTACCCTGAGCCCTGGGCCCTGAACCCTAGGCCTTGTGCCCCCCGAACCCAAAGGCCCTGTGCCCACCGAATCATAGGCCCTGTGCCCCCCGAACCATAGGCCCTGTGCCCACCGAACCAAAGGCCCTGTGCCCCCCGAACCCAAGGCCCTGTGCCCACCGAACCAAAGGCCCTGAGCCCCCGAACCCAATAGGCCCTGTGCCCCCGAACCCAAGGCCCTGTGCCCACTGAACCAAAGGCCCTGTGCCCACCGAACCAAAGGCCCTGAGCCCCCGAACCAAAGGCCCTGAGCCCCGAATCCAATAGGCCCTGTGCCCACCGAACCATAGGCCCTGAGCCCCTGAATCCAATAGGCCCTGTGCCCACCGAACCATAGGCCCTGAGCCCCCGAACCCTGAGCATGGCTCGGATTGAATGCTGTTGAATAAAAAATGGTCCTGGTAGAACTTGGTACGCTTGGTACTTGGAACTAACGTGAAGTCTGATTCCAGGGCACCAGAACCTGTATGGGACGTTGTGACGTCGTGTATAACCCAGAACAAGGATTATAGGGTCTACGGTGCCCCTGCGTATACGGACCGGGGATCTCAACAAGTCCTTTACACCTCAAGGAGGAACAGGGACCCATGCTGTCCCGAGAAGCGCTGCGAGACGTGCCGGAACCTGGCGGGCCGTGATCTAGGTGACACATAGACGACACCAAGCATAACAACCAGGGGCACATGCCCCGGACGTTGGGCAAAACGAGGCGAACCCACAACACCGGGACGAACCAAGCGACCCCAGGAGCCATCTGTGTAATAAAAAATATATATATATAAAAAAAAACCATACTTACCGGCAAAAAAAAAATACATAGAAATAAAGTAAACGACCCCATAGTCTCCGGAGACTATCTCTAGGGCGCGTAAATGTCACGCACCATTTGCATGGTGCGTGGCGCTCACATGCCACAATTCACTCGCAAAAGGTAGGGGACAGGCTATCCCCCACCTTCTGGCTTCTACTTTATAAATAAATAAATAAATACGTCTGCGGGCAACTCACGTCAGCCCAATCCAACTAGATGATCAACAGGAGGTACAAGGAGGAGCACAATACACACTACGGTATACATAACTACTTCTCCAGCGAATCCTTCATCATCACAACGCACTAGACGTGCAAGCCATCATCAACACGACATGAACAAGCTGAGATGTCTTCACCACACTAATATATTAATAAAGAAAACCAGATGAGGACTTGAGGAATAATGTGTAGAGATTTTAATCTTTAAATCTTCGAAATAAAGAGAAACGTGAAGTAGCTGTTTATAGGAATGAATTGAAACTTCTTTTTCTGAAATTGTGCAGCCACCAAATCCTCAAGAGAAGTTGCACCACATGATTTAGATCAACACTGAAATAGGGTCTAAATGTAACACCCCCGAAAAACATGTTTTTTAAAAGCCTTAAACATGCAGATAACTGAACTAATCAACAAACATAGCGAAAGTCTGGAAGATAGGTAGATAAACATAATCCGAAATACGGGGTGTTATGCCACGTTCACCAAAATGATGAACGCTACGGCAACATCTGCAATGTTTACATCTAAACCCATAGTCTCAAAGTGCTACATCAAATTTGGCACACAGGCCACAAAACAAAGAGGGAGAAGCTATACTAGCAAGCACTAGACCGCGCACTCGTCTAGACATCACCTGAAAGAACACAATAAAACATGGGACGACGCTCGGTCAGCGAATAATGCTGGTAACCCACCAATACATGTGAAATAACATACATAGATATGATATAGGTTGTAAAGCCATTTTCGAAACGGAATACATAAGTATGTAAGTACAAAACCAGAAGTAATAGTCAACACAAGACTCAACACTCTCAACAAGGATACGGGAACACATCCCAAACCACAAAGGATACCACAACACAAAGGATAAAGACAAGACTGATGGCAACACATGCCCTTGTGACTACACACGTCACAAGAAGAGAATTCACCACAACGGCTACATAAGCCCTCGCCACATCACTCATCACGAGTTGATATGCCTTCCTTATACCCGGTTCCAACCTTATGGCTACCCCCAACCTTATGTCTAGTTCCAACCTTTACCTCCAGGACCCCTGTACACCAAGTCCAACCTTATTCCTCCGGGGACCGTCGTCCCCTCTCCAACAGATCTCCAACAGAACCACCGATTTCATAGTACACGAGGGTACCGATCACACACACGGCAACACATGCCACCCAAGAATCACGTGAACCTTACACAAAGGTCACAACTCCATAATCACGTCACGGCCACCACGAGGACCGCTGCAATACCTTGGTGACTAGTGTCCCATACCACTAATCGTGCAATCCAGGTAAAGCCACACACACATCACACCTCAACAGGAATCAATCAACGGATCACAACGAAGATATGAAACCATACTCAATCAAGGAATGGATCACAGTCCAACAACAACAACGATGAATAACACAAGTTATCATCAACCAATAGGAAGGTACAAACAACACACATGCTAGCATTTAAACACCAAACTAGCATGCTTATCAAACAGGTAAACCAAAGATAGTTCCGAAGAACACACAAGACTCATCACGGTTCAACGAAACACAATGTTGAACACTTAGCACGATTCAAGACACCAAAACCTACATGGAATCCTACCATATAGTTCTAGACATACGAAACATCAAGAAGACACTCAAATAGTTCCACAAAAGAACATCGGAAAGTCCAAAAGACCAAATACCGAGTCAAAAGAATCACGGGGAACAAATCCCCCAACAACCAACATAGTGTACCCACGGGTGGACCCACGGGTAGGCCCCTACCCGTGGTCCTGCCCGCGGGTACAGGCCCTTTCACAATGTGTACCCTGCGGGTGGGCGGCGGGTTGGACCCCTACCCGCCGTTCCGCCCGCGGGTACACCCTTGTACCACAACAAAACACTTCGCGAATTTTCATCTCCAAACTCAAATTCAAGTCAAAAACATGTCAAATCTCACCCAATACAACAAAATGACTTGAATCAAAGGAATAGCCAAGCAATGGCATACAAGAACCCTAAACACAAGCTCTAGATATGCATTTTCACAAGATAATGCATAAACACTCACATTTCATAGCAAAACAATGTAGAATTCAAGAAATCACATATAGGTAAGCAAAATAGATTTTGTAGAGCATGGGTTATCTCATTCGCTTATCCAACCAAAACCAATGCCAACATTGGCTCAACTCATAAAACCAAGCTACCGGGAACCTGTGAATCAAACCGATCCTCGACTATTAACAAAAGCACTAATAAAAATAATTATCCTCATAAGGGAATTTAAACTCTAGTTCAACCGTAAATTACCCACAAGTCTAACCAATCAAGCTAGGCATTTTATTAAGAACTAAGCAACAACACTAATTATTAAACTAATTACCAAGCTAATAAGATAAGAATAAAAATAATTATCCTCATAAGGGAATTTAAACTCTAGTTCAACCATAAATTACCCACAAGTCTAACCAATCAAGCTAGGCATTTTATTAAGAACTAAGCAACAACACTAATTATTAAACTAATTACCAAGCTAATAAGATAAGACTAATAACTAAAACTAATCACTAAAGATGCTTATGCTATTCTAAGAATCAAACCCTGGCCACCCCTCATGCTAAACACATTACTAACCACTATGCTAGAGATAAACTTAATAACCTTACTTAACAAAGAAACTAATTAACCTTATCTAATAACAACAAGCAACACAAACAAAAGCTCACCCCATCTTCTTCGTTCTCTTCATGAAACAGAGCCCGCGGGTGGAACACGGTGAGGACCTCCAACCTCCTTCTGCCCGCGGGGAACACCTCGAACAACACACCGCCGGAGAGCTACCACGCCGGGAACGGAGGATATGCCATGAACATTGAGATACACTGCTGCCGGAGACGCCACGCACCACCACCACCTCGCATCACACTGTTGCTGCTGTCCGGAGCAGCTTGCTAGCCGGAGAACCGAGCACACTGCCGTCAGACTGCCACGCCGGAGGAAAGCTTGCACTGCCGGAACTTCAACGCCGCTGCTCCAAGCCGCTACTGCCGTAACTTGCCGGAAACAGAAGGAAACGGCGGAGGTCGCGCCGGAGCTCACTTCTGGTCATTGCGGTTGGTGCTTGCTGCCTTGTTGCCGAGAAAAGCCTCTAAGCTGGAAGATTCAGCTACTACAACCAAAGCTAGCGTCCTCACTGTCGTCTCTGCTCTAACGTTTACGAAGAAGAAAAGAAGAAGGCGGAAAGAGGCTGAAGATTTTGATGGAAAGGGAATGATACAATGCATATACACATACACACTATGGGTAGGGTTACTCAATGAATGGGTTGGGTTAGGAAGTTGGGTTGGGTAACATAAGTTGGGCTTAAACACTTTAGGCTCACAAAATATTAATACTTATATTTATACATACGGGGCTCAACTTGTGGGGTTCAAGACTTATATAATATATAGTCTTAGGATAATTAAACACTTGAGCTCAAAGAATAATTATTAGGCCTTAGGGATTAAAACTCATTTTGGGTTTAGACATATTTTGTACCAAAAATATTGGTTCACCATAATAGGTAGACCCGAGCCCGTTTTAAAATAAATAGCTATATAAATATTTTTATTAAAAATATTTATTATCAGGACTATAATTTATTTTAGGAAAATACGATGTGTCACACTAAAGATAACCACCTTTGAAAGAGTTTTCACCCATTTTGGAGCGCATCCTGACTATGATCCTGATTGCTCTAAAGTAGATCCTGACGCAAATCCAGAATCTATTACAATCTAATATAAAATTAACCTAAGTTTTGACAAATAATTAAGCCAATATAAATGGGTCAAATATGTATCATTTGTACACTTATATATGTGTGTGTGTCTGTCTACTATCTACTATACTAATAAGAGTCAAAGAGAGTCAAATTTTTTAATAAAATGAATGGCTTAGATTGATCAGATTTTAATTTTTCCTTTAGATTTCATAATTTATCCTTAATTATATGATTATCCGTTAACTTTCCCGTTAAATATTATCTTTTCCGTTAATTTCTGTTAGTTCACAGTTAACTTACTCATTGATTTCAATAAGAAAGGTTTTAGGTTCGAACCTCATCCCAATCAAAGTTGACATAATTAGTATTTTAGTTTTACTCTTATTAAATTAAATAATAATTTATTAGCTACAATAAAAAATAATAATATATATGCATTTCTTTAATTTAGAATTATATGTCTACAATGTCTTAATTCAAAAAAAAATTATTCATTATCCATAAATTAAATAAGAGAAATAATTTCATTAGTTATATTGTCTTTATTTTTCTCCAATATAAAAATTATTTACATTCAAATTCATCAATTGATTATATTCGCAACATTGTCCCTACAATGTCTTTATTCAAAAAAAAATTATTCATTATCAATAAATTAATTAAGAGATATAATTTCATTAGTTATATTGTCTTTATTTTTCTCAAATGTAAAAATTCTTTACATTCAAATTCATCAATTGATTTTTTTTTTGAGGAGGGACAGAGTCCCAGTACAAAGCTTGGTCCTGATCAAAAGCTAACGAAGCTAAAGTATGAGCAGCTAAATTTAAAGTTCTAGTGATGTAATTTAAAGAACAATAATCAAAAGACGATATAAGTGTCCTGCACTGGTCAGCAATCATTCCAATGTAGGATAAAGTAGTCATTGAGCTTGAATGTTTGATGTTCCGAAGCTCCATGCAATCAGTAAGTAGGTCCACTTCGAGTATATTGTGTTCCTTAAGTCATGAGAGAGCCTCCTTACAAGCTAACGCTTCTGCCATGAGAGGCGAAAAAGCACCATGCAACTTGCCACATTTTGCCGCCACAAAAGAACCATCGTGGCCTAGTGAAACCATCCCATACGTCGCATCTCCCGTGGTTTGCTTGTAGCCAGCATCTGCCCCACATTTCAACCTGGCGTGTGTGGGGGGCGTCGACACAGCCGAGGGCGGTGTAGACTGCTGCCGCTGGTGAACCTGCCGGAAGGCAGCTGCGGCCAGTGCTTTGTCCCAAACGGCGGAGTTGCGGGCTCGCCATATATGGTAGAGCACACCCACCACCATTCCTACCTGCTCCTCTGTCAAGGCGTTGAAAATACCCATAAGCCATAAGGGAAAAGAATGCACCACAATATTTGTAACAGGTAATTGTGAAACATTCCAAACCCTCCTAGAATAATCACAAGATATTAGAGCATGCAAAACATTTTCATGTCCTAGATCACACATTGGGCATGCAGGGCTCACTTCTACCCTCTTTATAATCAAATTATCCATGGTGGGTAGGATATCACATATAGCTCTACACAGGAATGTCTTCCATTTAGGCGGAATCTTTAATTTCCACATTGTAATCTATTTATCAAAACCACCCAGATTATTAGCATAATCCCCCACTATTCGCCTATAGGCATTCTTAACAATGTACTCCCCTCTCGAGTTCCCATCCAATACCATGAGTCCTCATAATATTAATAGGGATCATAGTAATTCTGTTCACATAATCAGGAATAAAAAGATCAGACAAAATATGTGGATCCCAGGTCTTAGTTTGTGGATCAATTAAACCAACTACCCTTGCTTCCCTTAATTCCTCAGGCATAATTGTTTGAACTAAAGGGCTGGGGTTATCTGGTAACCAGGGATGTCCCCAAATCAGAGTTGTCTGTCCATTGCCAATCCTTCGTCGTATTCCTGCACACACCAAACCATGTGCTGCCATAATACCTCTCCAACAGAAGCTCGGGCAATTTCCTATGGTAGCATCAACAAAACTAGTTATAGGGAAATATCTAGCTTTATAAATCCTTGCTGCAAGAGTACTTGGGTTAGTTAAGAAACGCCACACCAGTTTCCCTAACATAGCCAAATTAAATGCACGCAGCTCCTTAAAGCCCAATCCACCATATTTTTTTGGGACACATAACTTATCCCAAGCCTTCTAATGTATTCCTGTGCCTGTACCATTCCCCCACAAAAATTTATTCATGATCCGCTCAATAGATAAACAAACTGTCTCAGGTAGCAAAAAAACACTCATTGAAAACGTAGGCATAGATTGAGCCACACTTTTCAATAAAATTTCCTTACCAGCTTTTGACAACAATTTTTTATTCCATGAACCAATCCTCTGTCTAATCTTGTCTTCCACATATGCAAAGACAGTTGTTTTCCTTCTACCCACAAAGGACGGTAGACCCAAATATTTTCCAAAATTGGCTGCATATACAACCTCTAAACAGTTCGCCACTTGTTCCCTGTCATTCCCTTGGGTATTCCGACTAAAACAAATACTTGATTTATTATAATTCACCACTTGACCAGACAACTCCTCGTACCTTATGAGACATTGCTTAATAACACTGGCCTCCTGTATATTCGCCTTAAAAAATAACAGATTGTCATCTGCAAAAAATAAATGTGACACAGGAGGTGCTCCTCTAGCCACTCTACAGCCATGTACTGAACCCATTATCTGTGCTCTCTGCAACAACATTGAAAGTCCATCTGCACAAATAATAAAAAGATAGGGAGATAAGGGATCCCCTTGCCTGAGTCCACGGGTGGGCGTTACACGTCCCCCTGCTTCCCCATTGACCAAAACAGTATAGCTAACAGTAGTCACACACAACATAATTAGTCGAATCCACCTGTCATTAAATCCCATGACTGACATCATTTTTTCGAGAAAAGACCACTCCATCCTATTATAGGCTTTTGACATATCTAGCTTTAACGCACTCCACCCGACTAAACCACGTTGTTTTCTGTTCAGGTAGTGCCCCACCTCTGCTGCAACAAGAATGTTATCCGTGATTAGCCTCCCTGGGATAAACGCACTCTGGGACTCCGAGATAAGGTCCCCCATTAGTGGTTTCATCCTATTAGCTATCATCTTGGCCATTATTCTATAGATAACATTACTCAAAGCAATCGGTCTCATATCCGCAACCGTTTTCGGTGTGTCATTTTTTGGGATCAACACAATATTAGTGTCATTCAAACCATCTGGGAAAGCACATGTGTTTAAACATCTTACTATAAACTCCAACACATCATCCCCCACTATACTCCAGAAATGCTGGTAAAACCCTGGATTCATTCCATCCAGGCCAGGAACCTTATCAGGAAGCATAGAAAAACTTTATTCTTTAACCTCATCAACTACAAAATCACGCCCCAACATAACATTCTGATCATGGGAGACCCGGGGTTGGAAATTATCAAATAAGGGGTCAGAGCAATTGGCACTATTAGAAGCAAAAATACTCCTAAAATAATCCAAGATCACCGAATGCATATCATTCCCTTCCACCCACACCCCAGCATTATTTTTGATACTAGCAATATAATTCTTTTTCTTACGAGCAGAGGCATACCTGTGATAGAACTTCGTATTAGCATCTGTGCCCCGGAGCCAGTGTTGCTTGGCTCGTTGCTTCCAAAAAACTTCCTCCTGGGCCTCCAATTGATTTAGCTGATTATTTATTTGTTGGAATTCAGCTAAGCTAGTCGGATCCCTTCGGTTTCTAATATTCTCCATTCTCTGTCGTAGTTGCCTAATGCGGTCTCCAAATTTATGAAAATGATCTCCTCCCCACCGCATCAACTTTCCTCCACAATATTGCTGACAATTCAGCAACCCCTCAGATCTCCCCTCCTGCCACGCAGTCATTACCACATCCTTACACCCCTCATCCAAGAGCCAGGCCATCTCAAATCTGAAACCCCTCGGTCCCCTTCCCCTCCTTATACTGATCGCATTAATGTTAAGGTAGAGAGTCGAGTGATCCGAAGCACGAGTCCGTATATTTTCTACCCATGCGTTCTCATTCATGCCACCCCAACCTGCCATTGCCAAGACCTTATCCAATCTCTCCTCTATCCAATTTGGGGTTCCCTTACTCTTCTCCCATGTGAATTGGTAGCCTCTAATGGGCATCTACATCAGACCACAGTCATCTATAGTCTCCCCAAAGCTGCGTAAAAGACTACTAGGATGTGGGTTTCCCCCTCTCTTCTCATGCTGATACAAAAGATCATTAAAGTCCCCTATCACTACCCATGACAGTGAGGATATATCATGCAATGTTTTCAACAATTCCCAGGACTCCCTTCGCCTATGTCGTTGCGGAAAGCCATAAAAACACGTCATGCGCCATATCTTATCAAATATAGCTACTTTCACATCAATGTGATTTTTAGAATAACTCAACAAACTTACCGTGTTATTCTTCCTCCAGAAAAGAGCTAGACCACCACTCTGACCAGTATTATCCACATAAAATAGACCATCGTAACCAAGTGTGACACGGATTCGCTCTGCATGTTCCCGTCCCACCATGGTTTCCATCAAAAATACAAATTCGGGCTTCTTACGGGACGCCAGGTCCACAACTTCTCGAACTATGCTTGGATTACCCAAGCCATGACAGTTCCAATTTAGCGTACTCATGATGACGGGCGGGGCTGGGTACTAGCTCCCGCCATGGGCAAGCTTTTTGAATCGTCTGTCATAGTAATATCACCGACATCCTCCTCCGATATCGGGTCATCACCCGCAGCCTGCCGGCGCCGCTTTGCCGTAGCCACAACCGCATCCCCCTCCGACACACTGGCCGGACGCCCCCCACAACCCTCGGACGCCCCCACTGTCGTACTCGGCCCCTTTACCCCCTCATCAATTGCACGCGGTGTACCACCGACCGACACAAGCCAGCTCTCCCCAACCGCTCTAGGAGCGCTCCGGGATCCACCAGCTCGCATATCTGGACCATACGGGTATCGCTCCATAGGGATTACCGCATCCCTAGCTCGAATACAAAACGTGTGCAGATGCCCCATCAAACCACAAAAATAACAAAACTTATGTAACCGTTCATAGCGAAAGGTTACCCAAGCTGCCGTTTTGTCCCTCTTCATCAACTTCATCAGTCTTCGGAGCGGCTTATCAACCGGAATCGAGACACGGATCCGGTGAAACGTAAGCCAAGGTGCCCCCTCAAACCGGTCATCATGCTTGACAAAAGTGCCAAGAAAATTTCCCCCCTGCTTAAGAATCGATTGAGACGTATACCCCTTCGGCATGTCATGCAATTGTACCCACATATCTATCGTATCAAGATGTACGTCCCCCGGGATTGCTCCTGCCACAACCTCACGACATATCAACGCATTATTCTCAAAAGCCCACGGTCCACCATTCAGAACATAATCCATGTCCGTTTTATGAAAGAACACAAACAAAAACAAACCCCTCTGTATCTCTGTAACCTGTACCCCTCGGACCGGCTGCCAAACAGAAGCCAAAACCTGGCGCATGAATTCTAACTTCACCATCTTTTGTGATAAGAACCGGCCGACAATCCGCCATGTCTCAACACCGCCCCCCTCGTTAATATCCTCCCCCTCCGGAGTGAAGGCAGCGGCTTCCTCCTCCTGCCCCGCGCAATCTGCCCAGCTTTCAGCCAGCGCCTCCACCTCATTCGTTGCCGCTTCGCTCGTCGTCGCCATGTCGTCCGTGATTTAGCTATCCGTTCACCCTCGCAAACCGGTTGTCGTCCGGAGAGAAGAGCCACAGCACATGCGGAAACCCTAGGAAAACCCTAGTGGAGAGAATTCTAGAGAAAGAATTTTTGTAACTGTGAATTACGTAACTTTCCATCAATTGATTATATTCACAATATTGTATATTATTTTTTTTTGCACTATTTTTTTAATTAAATATCAAAGTTATAATACAACATAATGATATATATTTATTTACCAAGTATTTTATTAATACGATGAAAAAATTGAAAAAAATATAATTAATAAAGCCAATCATATTAACTACTTGAGGGATTTGTTGACAAAGAGAGTATTCAAAACACACAACAAATTGAAGTGAGAAACTACCACGCAATGTCCTTGTTTGACAATTAGCAGTTAGCGGTTAGCGTTAGCGGATTTAACCAGCGAATTATATCAATGGTTGGTTAAAAGATATTTTAAAAATTAGCTGTTTAGATTAACATGTAAAATTACCTAAGGGTATACATATATTTCATAATAATAAATAATAATAATAAATAATAATAATAATAATAATAATAATAATAATTTAATAAATAAATAAATAAATAAGATAAAACATATGGGGAGCCGAACGTTCGGCTCCCCTTAGTTTTGCCACTTTTCTCACATCTGTGGGAAAAGCGGCATGGGAGCCTTGAGGCTCCTATAAAAGGAGCCTTAAGGCTCCAATTTAAAATTTAAGCTTGCCCATCCGTTGATGGGCAAGCAGTGAGCCAGTGAAATTGGTTCTTGTTATTTAAGGAGTCGAAATGACTATAGTAAACTTTTTGTGTTTTTTTTTTTTTTTTTTTAAATGAGGTGTTTTGGAGAAATCATTCTCAAAAGCGCTAAGTGAAAATATTGTAAATTAAAATGTTTGTATTTTTAGTGGTTTGGAATAAATTGTTGCTTCAAACTCTTGAATAACCAAACACTTTCTTTAGCATTTTGATATTTGAGCTACATCATATTTACCAATCGTCCAATATCTTTAGGTTAAATTATAATTAAAAATATTTAATTGTTACAACATCTAAATTCGTTAAATTATGAATTTCTTTATCCATAATGATTTATTCAACAATAATGGTTGAACTAAATGAACACTGAGCAAAACACCTAAAGGACTGGTACCGTTGATTCATTCATTGATTTTGTATATATATGCAATCATTAAATATATTAGAACCCTTTTCAACAAAAATACTTGGTTACTATTTAAAAAAGTTTAGTAACATATTACATTGTATTCATATATTATGAGTTACATATTTAAATAAACAAATTCGACATTAAATTACTTATGTATGAACTTCTCATATATAATCTTATATTGATATACTTCCAAATATTTATTTAATTATAAACATTAGGCATTAACTCATTCGCGCAATGCGCGTGTAAAACTAGTGTGTATATATATATATATATATATATATATATATATATATATATATATATATATATATATATATATATATGGGAGTTCACGTGCGCCAATGTTGTTAGGTGTGGCGGTGCGGTCAATTGCAGGCCATTAGATTAGATAAATCCAATGAATCACATTCATCAAGGCTTCACCAATATTTTCGTGCACGTTCTCACACTATGGGAACTGCAAGGCTAAAGTCGTCATTGGGCACCAGAATCGAGCAAATCATAGTGTTGTGTGTTTTATGTTTGTTATTGGTGCATTATTAACCTTACTCTGGTATATTTGTGGATATGTGTTGGTGCCAAGTTCAGGTGCGGTCGCGCCTTCTCGTGTGGTCAGTGCGACCGCACTAATAGTTATACAAATATACGTCATCCATGTTAGAAAATACACACCAAAAATACATGCACAAATTAGGTACGCATCACCAAAACGCACCATTAGATATGAATAAAAGCACCACACAGTGTTCGGAAATATATTATTGGGGTGGTGAGTTATATGTGGTATTTTTCGGGTGTGTTGTGTGTTTTTTGGTGTATTTGTGCATTTCATTGTTGTGTTTTTTTCCTAAAACTATTGGTGCCTTTTGTTAACACTGTTGATGTATTCTGTCAAGCGACCGCTATAAATGGCTACTATAATTACCATAACACCCCCCAATTACCAAAACATGCTTAAATCTTCAAATCTTTAGTAATTAGCCACTGTCATTCGATTAAGAAGCTTTGATGATAGAGATAAGGCCGCACCGCCGCACCTAACAACACTGCCGCATATGAGCCTTTTATATATATATATATATATATATATATATATATATATATATATATATATATATATATATATATATAACTGCAGAGAATGGTTGCGGTTTATTACAGTATGTTTTAAATTTTGTGTTTATTTTTATTTTAAAAAAATAATTATATTAATTGTTATATTTAGTATTTAAAATTTTGTATGTTACGAAATGTTAATTTGTTGCACAAACGATTTCAAATAGGAATTTTAATTGATGAAATTATATTTGATTAGTTATTGAAATTATATTTTATAATTCAATGAATTTTTTATTTTGTTATTTAAATTTATTTGTATTTAAAATTAAAATTATAATTATAAAATTGAAATTATTAAATGTAGAAAAGTATTTAAAATAATAAATGATGTATAGGATTGAGAACTGAGAAGGGGTTGGACCCACAAAATAGAGAGAAAAAAGGAAAAGCGTAGAAGAAAAAAATAAGAGGTGGATTATAAGGTGATGCGGAAGAGTTAGGTCCACAAAATGAAAAGATAAGGAGAGAATCACTATGGATGTACTAATAGTACTATAGTCCCGATTCTCAAAGGAGATTGAGAAGGCCACCTACAATTACTTGGAATGCACTATCCCACTCTCAAGACTCATAATTTCTCATTGTCTCGTCTATAGGATGAGAACTGAAGAAAACTGTATTAGATGAAAAGCAATTACAATTGTACGGGAATTATATACAAGAGGAATCATATGGATACTAGAATAGGGAGTCATACTGTGACTTAAATACAAGAATTCTAATACTAGTCCTAATACTTCCCCTTAAGCACATGATGTACTTGTAACTTGTAGCTTGTCTCGGAGAAAAGAAAATCTAGGACTAGGCAATGCTTTGGTAAATATGTCTACAAGTTGATCTTTTGTTGGGATGAAATTTACTTGAATTTCTCCAGCAGCAACTCTATCTCGTACAAAGTGATAATCTATCTCTACGTGTTTGGTGCGAGCATGGAAGATGGGATTGTCACACATATACGTAGCTTAAAGATTATCACACCATAATTTAGGAACCGAAATACTTGGGACATGGATTTCTTGTAGAAGGGACATGATCCAAATTACCTCAGCACAAACATCTGCTAGAGCTTTATATTCAGCCTCAGTAGAAGATCTAGCAACAGTTCTTTGC